GCGCTTCCACTCCGCCACTAATATTCAAATATACAATAGCAATCTTATTTTTTTCACGTGTAGTATAGAAATTTGTAATAAGATACATAATGCGGTTATAATAAAATATTGTGCGATTATTTTCATATAATTAAAATTAATATGTATTTATATTTTAGAAAATACAAGGGAAGCGGCGCATCCACCGCTTCTAATGACCGCACGCACTGGTTAGTTCGTTGTGGGTTCATGCCTGATCAATTGGATGGTCACGTGGGTTTTACGTTTGTAACAATTAAATAGGTATCGCCTTCTCATAAAAGACTTCTCGGGAGGCATTCGGCAGATCGCGCATATGTCGCGTCGCCGTAAAACGAATAAAGTCAAATAATTAGGACTAAATTACTCTACAGAAGCAATAATAGCGAGGTTGAGGCCGAAGTTTTAAACGCCAAAACATGTACAGTACGTCAGACGTTTGGCGCCGCTTTCCTGTAAGCCTAGAAGTTTGACAATGGTGTTTGGATAGTCAGTGGATTCATGCTTGACATTCCAAACACCATTCTCAAACTTCTAAGCTTACAGGAAAGCGGCGCCGAACGTCCGAACTTCGGCCTCAACCTCGCTAACAAATACTCTTCAATACCTCGGAACTTATAGAAGGGAATAGAATAATTAATTAGTCAAATTAGTAAAAAACAATTGGTGTCCATAGAGAAACATCCGAGATGTAAAAATTTATTGCGCTAAGTAAAAACAAATGATAGCATCTGAAATTAAAGTTAAATTTTTTCTTGGAAGATTCTCCTGGGAGACTGCTCCAAAAAGATTTCCATGTAAAATCCATTGGTGAATCTTATCCAATCCTTCACTCATACTACACCAGTGGCTAAACAGATTTGATCCCTAAACACTAATAGTTGGCTCCGGTTCGCGCTTGAGATGGCTGACTGGCTGGCTGGTGAAATGTGCCGGGTTTCTTCATGTCGATAATTCCGGAATAAGGACAATTTTCCTCGAAATATCTCCCGGAAGGCACATTCCTCGATTGGCAGATCGCTCTCGTGTTGTGTGCCAGTATCTAAAACTAATCAACCATTATTTGATTTTTGAGTGGCTTATACGCTAATTTGTTTCATTTTTTCGGGTAGCACACGAGTTACTCAAAAAAGCAATAATAAATTATAAAAGTTAAGATATTTTTATAAATACAAAGTCAGTCAAGTATTGCACGATGTTCGTAATTTTTGGTTGATATTAGAGAGGTTGCGGCCCAAGTACAAACGTTACTTGTACACGGCAAGCAGAAGTACACTGTTTACGTTTTAACTCCAAGAAAAAATCGTTGCGGCGCACGTTCGCAACATCACGTGACTCTGTGAACGTCGCTCATTGACTCAAGGGAAATTTGTTGAAAAAATGGCGGATACATTTAACATCGAGGGTTACCAGCGAAGGTAAATAAACAAATTAAACTATTTTAAAGTATTTATATGATGTTTAATAACACGAAATAATTATTTTTAATTAGCGTGGTGTCTCCTACCGTACAATCGGACGATAGGACTACCTCTTACTTTTGTCGAGGGAAGTAGTGGCTTAGGTAAATTCGGAAAATTAATTTTTAGAAAATTTACAAGGGTGTTACGCTGTTGATGGTAGAAGATGCCGTGGAAGAACAAACCTATCTTAAGATAAGCTATTATGAAGGCAANAATTTACATAGAGAAGGAAGTGCGAACTAGTTACATATTTTCATTGTACCAAATAAACAGATAAGATGATAATTGATAAAACTATCTGATGATTCAGACTTCAAATTTTCAAACATTAATTAATGATGTCAAACGTAAAATTTTACTATTCTACAAGAGGAGAAAATATTGAAAATTTAGATTAAATTATTTTAAAATGATCATATAAATATTATATTTTGTTGTTGTAATTATAATTAATTACAGATTCATTTTAAAGATTAATGCAAATTTCGAGAAAAGAATGTGCCATGAAATAATCGAAAAGAAAATTGTCGTCTTTGGATTTTAGCGTGCAAAGACGTTTGCAGGAAATGGCCTACTTTGTATTTAGTGGAAGGTCGTTTCTTTAAATTGTTGTACGGCTATTAAATATGTGCTAAAATAGAAAATTAGCGCTATATAACATATTTTTAAAATAAAGAAATTTCTCATAATTCAACAAAATTATTCCTTTTAAACTTTTATTTTTTAAAATAAAGAAATTTCTCATAATTCAACAAAATTATTCCTTTTAAACTTTTCTTATTCTTTAAATTTTATATTACCGGTATAGTATATGTGAGGATTGTCTTCCTGGTTTCCGTTACCTTCTGTTCTAGTGATGTGAAAGTCGAACAAGAGCTTTGCCATGATACCTTTACATAATACATCATTTTCCCGAACGAAGCCGTGTGATTATAATGGCTTTGATTATGCACGCAATTTTCAGCAAACAGAATTAAAAATTTAATGCTGTTTCTACAGAAAAAATCTTTTCCAAAATTTTCTCGAAAACGGTAGTATATAGAGCAAAAGAATTTTTAGCATTAAAGTCCTATTTAATTCTTCTATTAACGACCTCTAAACCGGTCGCACCACTCGGGATCGCACCACCTCAAAATCTTCCTAGGATAGCCTCTGGTTCGGCCCGTGGAAAAAGTTTTCTTCCAATTCGGTCCGGGGGCAAAAACTGTTGGCCATCCCTGGGCTAATACATAGCCTAAGTCTTTAAAACTTCGAATCTGTTTTGTTTTCCTGGCTTGCCAGGAATTGCTTTGTATAGCACCTAAGTTGTCGTTTTTAGTAATTTAATTATTGTTCTTTAAAATATTCTTATGAACATTTATTGCATATATTTTGTATTATACGCATTTTGTGTAATCTGCTACTATTAATATTTAAAGAATTTACAACTATAAAACTTCTTATCAATAAACATTAATGAATCACTAAAATGACTATATCTTAAAACTGGAATTATTAACCTTCTTTTGTTCCATGGATCCCTTTTCCAGACGTTCACGGTCCCCTTCTCGGAATAATGTCTTTAAATGTATAAAATAAACTTACAAAAGAAACCAATTATACAGAAATATATTTATTAAAATAATTTTATTATTTTAATATGAAAACATATGATATAGTAATATATCTGCTTCTTTCATAATACAATAATTACCAATACAATACATTTAACAATACATTTAAAATATAGGAAAGTTAAAATTGATTTTTTTTTTACCTTCCAAGTCCAAGGACCCCCAGGGAATCTGTGGATTCTTCATTAAGAACACATATCTTAAAAGAACTTATCACATCAGTCTGCTACTAATCTCACTAAAATTAGAAACAAGTAGACTGATGTGATAAGTCCTTTATTATTTAAAGAAGTTAGTTTTAAAATTGTATTTCCAACAGGTATTTTTAAAGGTTTCTAATTTTCAAAATCTACCATGACTAGCTAGCTCTTATTGTAGCTATCTCCCTACAGAAGAAAAAGAAAAAAAAAGGTAGCTGTAGGAACTAAATCCGTATCTTACTGTTTCTCTTTCCGAACCCTTTGATGACATTTTACGACTTCAGATTTTCCAGAAACCCAGAGATGAGTCATTACCAAAAATTATGTATGGGGATATATATATATATATAGGCCTATATATATATACTAGCTGTTACCCGCGACTTTGCACGCGCGTATTTTTCAAGCAAACCC